GAATATGAGTTTACAGGAGCTGGGCAGAGCAGTAGAGGACAGGGGGGCTTGGACATGTCACATCCATAGGGTCGCGATTGGTTGAGATCAACACAAAGGCAGTTAACAACAACAATAATTTAGTGTAACAAGATTCCAGTGATGAACACACTCCCTTGGAGAATGGTGGAGTCTCCTTCCTTGGAGGTCTTTAAACAGAAGCTGGATGGCCATCTGTTGGGTATGCTTTGATTAAGAGTTCCTGCATGGCAGGAGGTTGGACTGGATGGCCCTTGTGGTCTCTTCCAACTCTATGATTCTATGATTCTATGTTAGAGGTAGCAACCTTAGTATGCCTATACACAGTAGTTGCTAATAATCAAAGATATAGCTATGCTAGCCTATTTCAGTTTTTTTTAAAAAATAAAGGAATCCTGTAGCACATGAGTTAATTTCAAAGCTGCCACAGAGTTCAGTATTTGCTAGTTTGCATGTTTCTTAGGCATTCTTGTAGGCATTCATGTAATTTCCTGTTTGTTGGTTGTAGCCACAACATCTCTCTTCCGGCATCTCTTAGTCTTTTCTCCCATTTTATAAACCCTAAATCAGGGGTAGGCAACCTAAGGCCCAGGGACCAGATGCGGCCCCCGAGGCCTTTGGACCGGCCCCAGGCCGGTCCTGCCGCTGCCGCCACCTCCCCCCACTGCCCGCCATGATGATATTGATTATTGTTGTTATTACTTGTTCTTGGGGTTTTCTTGGCAAAATCTCCACAGGGACTTTTCTGGGGCTGAGAGAGTATGCATGCATATTTTTTTATTATTATTATTAAATATTTATTTATTTATTTATTTATTTATTTATTTGGTGCTTCGGCCCCCCCAATTGTCTGAAGAACAGCAACCCAGCCCCCAGCTCAAAAAGGTTGCCTACCCCTGCCCTAAATTTACCCTAAAGAAACCAGATCCTGCTGATCTTGGAAGCTAAGCAGGGTCAGCTCTGGTTAGTAATTGGATGGGAGACTATCAACAAATAACTGCTGCTATGGACTATATTTCAGAGGAAGGAATTGGCAAAAGCA